GCAGGAGCTACGACCACTGTCTGTGGCGTTGCAAACAGCTCTCTGTGCTAATCAAACGCCTCTCATCTTTCTCACAATGCATTCGTGACTGGTGCCGATGAAGACAATAAAAATCAAATGAGTCATGAGCTCCTAAATCATTCTCTTTGGGGCTTTTTAATAACTCACTTCCAAAGAACTGGCTGGGAGCGTATGCTTCATTAGAATTATTTGTTCCTGGTTTTACACCATTTAGGCATGGGGGTAAAGGGAACCTTTTAACACATCCTTCAAACACCAGCATAAATACTTTGTCCTAATGGGATTTGTTTTTCTGCTTTTATCACTGTATTCTGCCTGCCGACAATGCCCCAAACACGGAGGTTTGGTGAAAGAAAAACCAACAAAAAGGGGTGCTTTCAAGTTATTTGAAACACACTGGGATGGCTACAGGCTTTTAAATATATATATTTCAAAGAACACAATGGGAAAACGTTTCCTCACCCATGTACCCCAGCTGACAGGTCTGCGTGCTGGCCCCCAGCCCAGACAGGGACACTGCTTGGTGAGACCTGGAATCCTTCACCCAGTTCAGATTTTGAGCAAGGGGAGCACTTTCAGCCCTGAACCTCAAAGCACTGAGCATAAGGCTGGGGTGGGAACTCTGTTTGGCTCAGCCCTTAGGAGAGGGGTACAGGAGAGGTTTCAGGAGGGGGGGTATGGGGAGGTCTCAGGATGAGGGTACAGGGAGGTCTCAGGAGACGGGTCACCTCAGCCAACCTCAATCACCTCCAGAAAGTATACCAGGTCCACAGGGAATCTGAGGGACACTTGGATGGGAGATCTGCTCCAATCTGAAGGTGCTCTGGAAGAGGTTAGCAGGAAGAGAGAGCTGAGGAGCAGTGTGGGGGCAGTGGGGTGGGGGAGACGTGTTGCTGCCCTCCTTTCTGGGTCCTGTAACTTTGGGTGCATGTTAGATCTGTGACTGGAAGGAGCCCAGGAGTCCCATTAAACACACTGACCTGGCAGCTCCTCTTGGGGTCCCCAGCCCCACAGGAAATGACCTAGATTCTTGATGTTCATGTTCAGGGTCTAGCACATGCCACATTCCCGCCCCCGCTGGCACCCCAGGCTCTCTTAGTCCTGTTCTGCGCCATTCCCCCTCACCCCACTACCCCACCCAGGACTCTTTTAGCGCCGCCCCCCCCACCCCTTGCTATGGAACCTGCCCCAGCAGCCCTGTGTGTGGTCATGAGACCGTCCTTGCTCTGGGGTTTTGTCACAGTGTGTGCGCAGGAATGTGTGTTTCGGGAGGGAGCCCAGAGTCAGGTTCGGGAAGTTCGGGGATGGCAGGTGAGCTGGGGCTCCCAGGGACCCTGACTGCTCCAGGCGAAGGGGTGTGTTTTCCTTCTGATCAAAGATGATTCTGATGCTCGAGGCTTCCTTGATGCTGGCAAGTCAGAAAAGTTTAATTACATGTGTCATTAGGACGGCTTTCTGTAATGGATCTGTGACGGAGTTCATTAACAGAATTCTTAATAGATAAGACAAGACAAATTAATATTTTGTTGCCCAGGAAAGCTTCTCATTAAGAGAGTAGTGGAGAAGTGATTAGTGCGTTGTTGCCAATCAAGGTGTCTCATCTAAGTGACAAGGAGAGGAGCCCCTCACCTCCCTGGCTCTCATGTTCCCGCCCGGGTGTTCTACAGGCTGGTGGGCTTCCTGGTCCGTGGTAATGAAGATGTGCCATGAAGGCTGACTGTCAGCTCTGACAGCAGGGGCTGCGCTACAACGCCTTCATACCTCTGGTGAGGGACGTGGAGATCCCACCCCCCATGAAGTCAGACTCTATCGCGTTCTCCTCGTGGGCCCAGGCCTGGAGCACCTGCTCTGCACGCAGGCACCCAGGGTTAAGTCCTGGGACTGGATGGTTCCCCCAAGGATGGCTGGGAGCAAATTCTGAGCACAGAACTAGGAGTAGCTCTTGAGCTCTTCCTGGCAGGGGCCCTTGAATTGGATGGCCTGGCTGTCTGCTCTCCAGCCTGGTTCCCTCCTCGGAATGTTTCCCTCATGCTCCTGGAGATGGGCTGCCACTGATGAGCATCTGTAGGGGGCTGGCCTGGGGGCACTGTGCCTCTCACACACAGCACCCCCACTCCTACCAGGCAAAACCACAGCTGAGCTGCACTCCTGCAGCTGGCTGACATGCATGCTGGTGTTTGGTCCCCGACTGCAGGCTGAAGGGGCACCCCAGGATCCTATCTGCCGGACTGGGGAGCCTCACTGGGCTGCTGGCTCCTGCTTGCCATGGGGCTAACAGTGGCAGCAATAATAATGAGTGATAATAGCACAGAACGCTATATGCATAGAACCTTCCAAGAACCTCATCATTTCATCCTCACCATAACCAGGAGACAAGAGCTCATGCCCACTCTGCAGAGTGGGGAACTGAGGCTCAGAGCAGACAGCTGTCCTCTTACCAGGCTTAATAAGTGGCAAAGCTGAAACTAAAACCCAGCTCCTGGGGCTGGAGCAATAGCACAGTGGGTAGGGCGTTTGCCTTGCACGTGGCTGACCCGGGTTCGATTCCCAGCATCCCATATGGTCCCCTGAGCACCGCTAGGGGTAATTTCTGAGCGCAGAGCCAGGAGTAACCCCTGTGCATTGCCGGGTGTGACCCAAAAAAAAAAAAACCCAGCTCCTTCTGTCTGTCCCTGCCACAAAGTGCTGCCTCCTGGCCCTACCCTGTAGGGGGCAGGGATGCGTGTGTATGTGCATACATGTGTGTATGTGCACAGGAAGAGAAGGGACATGTGTGTATGGGAATGCATGTGTATGTGCATACATGTATATGTGCATGTACATATGTGTGCATGCATGTGCGTATGCATGTATATATGCACACATGTGCATGAACGCGTGTATGTATATGCATGTCTATGCATGTATATATGTGCATACATGCAGGCGGGGGCATGTGTGTATGTGCATGCATGTGTGTATGCATGTGCATGTGTTTGCATTTACTGTGTGCTTTAATTAAGGACCCCCATCCTTTCTTGTACCTTTGCACGGTGGGTTCTGAGCAGTGCCGGGCCCTGCCTGTTAGCAGGAAGCTGACTTGGCCATGAGCAGCAAGTGTTCCCCAGGAGGTAACGAGAGGCCATTAATCTCCAGTTGCACCCACAATTACCCAAATTGCTAACCTCACTGAGAAAAGTAGAAATGCAATTGAGTTGGTGCTAGAGGCATGTTCGAGGGAGGGGAAAAAACACTCAAAGTAATTTAATTAACTGATGGCAAGTGCATTAAGAGGATTCTGCCTCGGCCTTTCTTTCTGGTGTCTTTAAATAGAACCCCAAGAATTGCCCATGACGCCAGACAGTCCTGAATCCATCACCCCCGCCCAACACAGTGAATGTGGACACTCTACTTTGAGTACCCACCTGTGTGCCCCAACACATGTGTATGCACACCCCTCACTGTCCTCTTTCCGACAGGACACTGCCTGCCCTGGCCAAGACCTGGATGTGCCCTGGTCCCCTAAGGGCCAGATGACAAAACTGCTGGTCATCCTTTTCTGGGCCACAGGTTCTGCTCAGGGACATAGTCCTGTCAGGTGTCAAGGATGGCAGTGGCCCTGCTGCCCAGCTCTGCCAGGTGGGACCTCCAGGGTGGGCCCCTCCTCCCTCTGCTCCCTCCATCTTCTTCAGGGTGCACCCAAGGCCCAGAGAATAGCAGCATCCCAACTTTGGGGGTCCTACAGAGCTCCACACTCTCCCCCCATAAAGCAGTTTCAGGGTGGGAAGACACCCATGGGGCCACGGGGTTGAGCTGCCTTGAGGCAAGCAGCATCCCTGAGCAGGGCACGACTGGTGCTAGTATGCCTCCATAGATGGGGAGCTCACTACCTAGGGTGGCTCCCTCAGGCCTGGTGGCTGGAAGGATGCTTTGGCAAAGTGGCCTGAATATATCTTTTGGGGGTGCACAGAGCCCAGGATAGCTCCTTCTCCGATCACCTCAGTGGTGGTAGCGGGTGCTGGTCACCTGGGTCTTCCTTCTCAGGGCCAAGCTACCCTCTCTGAGGCTGACCTTGAGGATCTAAGGACCCAGGATCTTCACCTGAGACTTGCATGGCTGCAGTTCTGTGAGCAATGGGGAGTCACCTTGGGAGGCCCTATGTGGCCGATATCAACCTGAAGATAGTGGTTGATATTACTATCTTCTAATGTGGGCTTCTGAGAAGCCGTCTCCCCCTCACCTTGTGCCGACCTGGGGCCAGTCAACACCCCTCCGTACTCACGTTTAGTCTTCAAGGGAGTTGCTGCTACTGTGACTTTTCTAACAGATTGACCCATTGAGGGTCGAGTGGATTAAGAAATTGTTCCCCAAAACTGCTCAAAGTCAGAGATCCAGTGTGAGGTGGTGCTGGGGCCCCCACCTGGGCTGCCCAGCTCCCCCAAGTCCAGATTTCCCTGCTGCTTGCCTTAGTCTCATCTCAACCCCACTGTCCGGTCTGGTCCCTGAGCCCTGTCTCACCTGCTCTCCTGTTCTTTTCCCTCCTGCCTGGCCCTGCACCCCACCAGCAGCTCCCCTCTGCCCTCGCAAGGGGACACCTGCTTCTGTGCCCGGCTATCGAGACTGAGTTGCCCCGGGTCCTCTGGCCAGATGATCACTGAGGTTGGAACCTCCAGTGGAGAGCAGCTGTGCCCACCTATGGTGCCTCCCCTTGAGCTGGGGGGCAGGGGCAAGCTGCAACACAGTCCACTCCTCTCACGTCCTACCCCCATGCTAGCTCTTGGCAGAATGGAGCTCTCTAGCCCTACATGTGGGGTCTCCTGGGCATGGGCAGGCTTTTGGCTGCCCCCTTCCCTCTCTCTCAGGGGGTGGCACTCTAATACTCCCAGCACTGCAAGCCCCAAATGAGGCAAGTCAGGACCAAGCGCTGTGGCCTCAGCACGGCACCCGAATTCCCCGCCCCCTTGCTGGTACCTGGGGGCAGTGCCAGCCCCGGGACTCACATTGATGTCTTCCAAGTCCAGGAGGTTGAGGGCCAGCCCGTGGCGCTTCCATATGATGGGGGGCCGCAGGTCTCCATGGATAGCGCAGCTCAGCACCGTGCTCATGCCCACGGTCACAGTGGTCACAAGGACCCTCTCCTCGGGGGCCAGGCTGAGCTGAACCACCTCTGCAGGGGCAAAGGAGAGGGTGTTCAGGCACAGGTCTGGTGTGGGGTCGCCACTCAGGCACCCTCAGAACTGCCCGCGGTGTGGACAAGACAGACAGATGAGACAGACAGGTGGACAAGATGACCAGATGGACCTGTGTCCTGGGGGTGGGGCCAGCACATCTGAAATGCTCTAGGGAGTTTCGGAGCAAAGAGCTCAGGGAGGGGGATTTCTGGGCAATGGACCTAATTCTGGAGTCCAGAACAGAGGCTGCCAAGGTCAGTGGCTGGCCTCTCCGGACCAGGGAGCAGATGTGGTGGTGGGGGGGCTCTAGAGCATAGGCTCGGGGTCTAATGAGGGCTGGGCCTGGCCCGTGAGTGCCCGAGGCCAAGAGTGGGGGTGCTGGTTCCCTGTGCAGAGGTCCATGGCAGGAAGAAGGAGCACATGAGGCGGTGTGATGGATGCGGATGCAGCCACGTGTACTCTCCATGTGCTGCCGTCTGTGGCCCAAGGGTCCCTTCTGTCTGTTGCTGAGGAGTCCCGGGGGCCCTGTAGCAGGCCTGGGCTGGCCACCGCAGGGTGGGGACCAGGGCACCTCCCATAAGGGTAGCTTCTCAGTGAGCTGATAGTCCTGAACCCCAAATTACCTAAGGGAAGGAGAGACAGTCCCCTCCTTTGATGGATGAGTCACACCATGCCTTGGCCCCCGTGATAAGGCTGTATCCCCTGGAAAAGCATGGGACAGGGAACACCCCTCCTTGAAAGAGGAGCTGTGAGGGACAAGGAAGGGACAAAGTTGCTCCAGGAGAGGCACCCCCCACCCCCCGTCCCCACTGTGGTGACCACACAAGGCCAGGCAGCGGTTCCTTCCAGCACCGCCAGAGTCTTCTCTGTTCCTGGGTGACAGGGGGCGGGCAACTCCCCCAAGGTCCCTGGACCCTCCACTTGGGCCATGGGGTGCACTGAAGCTTCCTTTTAGGGGCTGGCAGGGGCTGCCCCTGACCTGGGGGTATCAGAAGGCCCCCTGAGGGGGCGGGCATTGGATTCTGACTGCCAAAAGCTGAGTGTCCAAGCATCCATCCACACACAGTGGCTGGGGATGGAGATGCATAAAGGTTTCATTTTGTGGTGACTCAGGGTGTCGTGATTTTCAGCCGTTGAGTGTGAGACTTGTGGCTGTGCTGCAGCTGGACCCTGCAGTGCAGGAATACCCAGGCGCCGAGACAGTGCTGGGGGCCTGCCCACCGCAGTCCACGATGCTGGGAGTGGAGGGTCATGCACTGCAGGAATCAAACCCAGCTCAGGTGCGTGCCAGTGCCAGCCTGTCTGGTAACTGCCTTGCTATCTCCCGCCCCTGATAAACCTCCTGGTTCTTTCGGATTGTTGTTCGTTTGGGTCACACCTGGCTGTACTCAGGACTTACTCCTAGCTCTACACTCAGGGATACTCCTGGTGGGACTTGGAGACTGTATGGGGATGCCAGGGATCGAACTCGGGTCAGCTGCAAGCAAGGCAAGCACCCTACCCACTCCCCAAAGTGTTTTTCTTGACTAGAAAAGTGAACCTGTCCATCAGCAGGTGGCAGCCTTCCAAGGGCTGAGCACTGAGTTTCCACCTCTGCTCGATGGGGCTGTTGGGAGGCACTGGTGGGTTGGGGGATGGGAGTGGCGCTTGAATCCCTTCTCTGAACTCCTGAGCCCCCCTCCCTCCTATATCAGATGGGGAGGGGGAAGATGGGGGGTGGCAGCTGATCAAAACTTAGACTTTTGCCGCTTGCCCCCAACTCTGATGGGTTAAACCTGGGTTTAACAATGTCTGCTCCACTGAGGTGTTGGGCGGGGCAGGGCCTGCTCACTAGGCTGGACACTGGACTCTCCTTTAAAGCCTGTGCCTGTGCATAGGAGGGCCCCCTCCTGCCTGACACACACACACACACACACACACATACACACACACACACACACACAGGAGGCAGGGTCCCTGACTCAAGCTATATGAACATTCACACTCCCTGGAGGGTCCTGGAACACAGGTGAGCACCGGTGTACTCACAGGCCATCAGCATGCGACTCTGCAGATGTGAGCCTGGCAGCAAATATTTGGATCATTTAAAGTTTAATGAAATGAGTGTTTTATTGGATTTAATTCATGTCAACAGTCCCTAGCCCCTGTGAAGATTCTGAAGGGTGGGATGAACCCATCCCTGATCCCCATCCCTCATCCCATGTTCTCCTGCTCCCCTAGAACCCCCCTCAGAAAGGGACTTCCCAGGGTGGGCCCCCCAGGGGCAGTTCTGGCTTCAAGACAGGGGACCAACCCCACCAGCCTGAGGCTCCAGACTCTGTACCCCTAAACACCCACTCTGCTGGGGACATGCCAAGGGGCCCTGGGTGAGTCCTTCCCCATCCTGGACCTCAGGTGAGCGAGGTCTTTGTAGAATAAAAGGAAAAGGGCCTGGGGCCCCCCACTTTCAGGCTCTGGACTCTGAGCATAAGCTCAAAAAGGGTCCCCCGTGGACAGAATGACTGAGTGGGGACACTAGAGCGTACAGGTGGGCCCCTCTCCTGGATCCTGCTCCAGCTTTAAGGATCTTCTTTGGAAGCTGTTTGGAAGTCAGGAATCCAGGGGTCACTGTGGGGTCTCCATCCTCACATGGAGTACAGGGCTCAGTGTTAGGCACACAGGGGTGGGCTGGAGACTCTGAGGGGCTGACTCCCGGGAAGATGCCCCCTAACCAGAGCAGTGGTTTTACATTGCATTCCTGGTTCCCATCGCTCCTTTTGCATCCTCCCTCCTGTTTTTGACATGGAAGGTGGGGGGAGCCTCCTAAAGGTACAGGGGACCCAGGGGCCACTCTTGGTGAGACCAGGTCCAGCTGGGCACGTCTCAGGGTTCAATGTTTCCAGTCTTGTGGTGGTGCCAGGGATGTCCCTGACCCCCTCCTCCCTCAATTCTGGCAGCTGGGAGAGAGGCGGCATGGCAGATGCGCGTGGAGTCCCCACCACCAGGCCAGGGTTTCAGTTCTGTAGGTGCTATTTCTCACGCTAATCCAGGTTCAAAAAGACGACCCCAAACCCACCAGCATGTGCCATCCAGAAGGATCCCATGCTCAGGGCCTGGGAAATTTCTCAAATCTTAGCCAAGTTGCTGTGAGCTTCCTGGAGTCAGCAACACACTCACAGAACACATCCCTGCCATCTTGCCTCTTCTCTGGTGACATTCCTGGTGTCTCATGCCCACAGTCAGTGTGTGCTGGACGTGGGAGCAGACCAACCTGAGGGCCAGCCTGGAGGTCAGGGCAGAGAGCCAGGCCTGGCATGGAGGTGCATGAATGGCCACAACTCCTTTCCATGCTCGGCTCCTTAGGAACTGGCTTCCCCTGCTATAAACCCTGAAGGTGGCCAGGGCCTCCCTAAGCCAGCGTCCTGCTCTGTCCTGCACCTGTGAACAGGGTCACACAGGGAAAGGGTGAGGTTGTCACAGGCAGGCAGATAGGGACACCCCCTCCTCTTCCACTCATGCCATTGAGCTCCTGGGAATAATAAAACCAACTAAACCCGAGGCTGCCAGGATCCACCTTGTGGGAAACGAGGCCTGGTAAGACCATTAATTGGAACAGGAAGAGGCCCAGAGAAAGTTGGATCCACTCAGAGGAGCTCCAGCAGGAACAAGGTCAGGAAAGGAACTTCAGCGAAGACCTTCCACTGCTCCCAACTCTTCCCCTTGGCAACCACCCTAGCAACAGACATTGACCTAGGTAAAAGCTCCACCTGGGGCAGGTTGGGAGAAACCTACAAAAGCCAACTTGGAGCAAAGGAAGCACATGCCTGTGACGCCCGTGCTCATGTGTGACCGGGAGTGAATGCTACCCCATTTCCTCTGTTGAGACTGGACTTTCATATCTTCATACAACCAGCAATGTGTGCTGGTTCTCTCTCTGTCTCTGTCTCTCTGTCTCTGTCTCTCTCTGTCTCTCTGTCTCTCTGTCTCTGTCTCTCTCTGTCTCTCTCTCTCTCTCTCTCACTCTCTCCCTGCCCCTCTGGAGAAGCCTGTGTTCTCTCTTGAGCGTATCTTTCTCTCTGTCTATCTTGCTCTCCCCTTCCTCAGAACTTCTAGACAAAACCTGTTTTTACTTCATTGCTCCTCTCATCCTGAAATTCTTTTCTGAGAAAAGCGGGGACCTGAAAGGCCTGGTAAGGCCTAGGACTGACTTTGATTTCCTGCAAAGAGTAAGGCTCACAGAAGACTCTTATCGGTCCCAGGTTTCCCAGCCATTTCGGGCGGCAGAGATGGAGAGAGAAAAAGGGGCAGATCTCCTTCTCCAGTCTGCTGCCTCTCCCCTCCCCACTTCACATGAGTCACCTGGAGACCACCACCATCATCAAGGGGGACAGAAACAACGATCTGTGCTCACTGCTGCCCTAGTGTCCCACATCTCCCAAATGCCACAGCTCAGCCAGCAGTTATAGGGAGCGGCTCTGTGTATTTGTGTGTGTGTGTGTGTGTGTGTGTGTATTGTGTGTATATTGTGTGTGTGTGTGTATGTGTGTGATGGTGGAGGTGTTGCTTTGCGCTATCTGGCTTTCATTAAGGCCTCTGTAGAAACAGGAGGGAAGTGCGGCCAGGCAGAGTTGGACTCTGCCTCCAGATCACTGTGCTTTGCCTTTGGGGGTACCCTGTAATACAGGGGGCTCAGAGCCAGCCTGTTTGGCACATAAGCACATCTTATTCTTTCTGAATAGTGGATTCCACTTTCCTGCCACTGTCCCCTTCCTCCACTGGTTTCCTTCTGGAAAGCACAATGCGCACGCTCACCAGTCATCACCTGTAGATCCTCCAGGAACTGGCACTTCCAATTGGCTTAGGTGGCCTGGCAGCTGCAGCTGTTATTTCAGCTCAGTTATCACTGCTCGCTGGTGTAAACAAACACCCTTGCACGCTGCAGACGGAGACCTCTCACGACAGCCCCTGTTTAGCCCCAGCACTGGCTACATTCCGAACGCATGGGAGGGACTTAAAT